GGGGGGAGTGTTACTTATTATGTTATTCTTGTTTACATAAGTGGAAAAATAAACTGTATCTTCAGTGCAAAGATTGCTATAAAAAACTTCAAAGCATATTAAGACTGTTATTATTTAAATGTACATGTATTTTATGTCATTACTCACAGCTTTTTTCTCAGTGTGTGAATGGTGTGTGGAAAGTGAATTTGTCTATAATTGTACTGTATATTAATTGTTCGGTATTTTTTTGTGTGCATGGAATAATTTTTAAAAAAGGTTGAGATTATAACTTGTATGGGATTGCATGCACACACAATGAAAGTGGTACTCACTACAAATATTAAGTTGGTTTTCAATGCCTTTGTTTTGTAGAATATTGTGTACAGAATAATATTTTATTGCATATATGAAGCAGATATAGTTCACTTTGGTGTTTTCTTTTTTAATGCTGTTTAATATTAGTTTTAAAAAGTATCATAGATAAAAGATATATCAATAAAAGAGTTTTCTGCATCAAAGAGAAAAGGAGCCATATTTTTGAATGGCTCTAGACATTGTTGAGAAATTGTTGAGAAAGTATTATAGTGAATATTATTGGCACTGGCACAGATTTTTACTGAGGGTGTGACCTACTACATAAGATACAGCTGTTGCAAGTACAAACAATTATGTCACTTTAGCAGCATCATCCAGGTTGGTATTAATTATGCAGTTTGGCTTTAGATGTAATAAGTTTATGGTTCATCCTTCAGAAGAAAAACATGACAGTGACATTGAAATAAATCAGAATGTGATTTGATATGTAATACAATCTATGGTTGTATATAGAAGTTGTCATCTGTTCCTGCAGGTGTATAAGTTTACAAAAAAAAATTAATAAAATATTGTCTTCAAGACTGATGACCTTGACCTTGAAGGCCAGTGACCTTTGGCAACTCCTTTCTATCAGACTCTGGTAACAACAGCTTTTGCTGTTGTTAATGTCAGCTATATTGTTATTCATTCACATTTACAGCTTGGCGTTTCTTGTTAATTTGCACATCATTTTGAGGGAAGTCTCCCAAGGTGTGAAAATGTACAAGATATTTATATCCCTCATTTCATGTTAGTATCTGAAGTGAGATTTTTTGTACACAGGCTATTCTCTCTCTCTCTCTCTCGTTCCCCCCCCATATCCATCATTGGTCCTCTATAATATTTTGGAGGTATAAACATTGTGATATCACCATCACTGTGGAATATAAGGCCCAGCCAGTTTACAAGTAGATAGTATTTATATTAGCTATAATATTTTGGAGGTAGATATATTGTGCTATCACCATCACTGTTAAGATGGGATTTTCCTCATGCATTGTCATGACTTGTGGTTTCATTCTTGATCTTTTTTTAAAAAAATTGGAACAGGTTTTGGTTTTTATTCCAGGAAGGTAAACTCTGGATAATGCACATGTCTGTTTGATAATTGCTGTGTTCGCAGAATCGATGTTTGTGTTAGTTTTAAATTCATCGACCTTGATAAGTCAGTTGGTTAATTGCAAAATTTGTGTGAGCTGACATATGGTTGCCAGGTTAACAGTTTGGTAAGCTAAAACAGTTGTTAGTAAGCTGTTGTACACAACCTTCTCTGTAGCCCCCGTTCCTCCCCCCCCCCCACCCACCCCAAGCCCCATAGGCCTGATCTACAAAAGAACCAGAGATAGAAAGTTGGTCTTAAATTTTAGACCAAAAATGTGGTCAACTTACTAGTCAGTTCAAGATATGCTTATATTCAATTCTGATTCAGTTGGATTATTGCTGATTAAGCCTAGGTTTAAGCACTAGTACTAGTAAATTAAAATTTTGGTTTTGCAGTTAAACCCAAATTTTGGTCTTGAGTTTTTTTTTCTAACTTTTTTTAACCAGCTTCTGGTTAAGTGGTTAATTAAGGCTTCGTTCAATCTATTTTCTATTCGCGGTATCTTGTGATCACGGTCTGTGCCCTGAATACCCCGCGACGTAATTACTGGCAGCCAGTTACTTTCAAAGCTGTAATTAAATCTTGGCTGCGTTCTGAGTGATCACAAGATACCGCAAATAGAAAATAGATTTTTAGAAAATAGATTTTTCATGTGAACGGAGTCTTGCATCCCATGTTTCCATCCATGTGGGCAGGGCTGATACAACCCTGGTAGATCAGCACTAGGTATAATGTGCATAGTTTCCTGTAGTGAGCTGTGGTGTGATAAAACACCCAATGACTCACACCTCACTGCCTGCATCATGACACACGTACTGTTGTATGTGTATATTGCAGGTGGTGTCAGCTATGCAGCTGTTGGCTTGAGCTCTTTGTTTTAGCCTGGCTGTTTACCTAGAGGTACATGATAAGTGAGTAGGACATGTGTGTGTGTATGTGTGTTTGAGAGAGACAGTCTTGGAGAGATTGAGTGTGTGTTTGTGTGTGTGGAAAAGTGTGTGTGTGTGTGTGTGTGTGTGTGTGTGTGTGTGTGTGTGGAAGAGAGTGTGTGTGTGTGTGCACGCGAGAGAGAGAGAGCTTATGTATGTGAGAGTGAGAGAAAGAGAGTGTGAATGAGAGAGAGCAATTATGTCTACGCATGCGTGTGTTTTTGTGTGTGTTTGTGTGAGAGAGAGAGAGAGAGGGGGGGTGGATGGGGGGTGAACCAGTACAGGTGCTGGCAACCATACAGCTGTTACCATTGACCTTTTTGCTGTACATAGCAAGTGCCTGCATGAGAACCTTGATTGATTAATTAATTGCTTGTTTAGGAAGGGAGAGGAGAGATTTTAGGGAAGAAATTGGATGGGCACTAGGCAAGAGAAAGCTGGAGATAGTAAAGGCATATTCCACAAGGGTATATAACCTACAAGGAGCTGTTTTCCTACAATGTTATTGCATAATGTTTTATTAACTAGCCTTATTTGACCCACATCCTTGAATTAGTCTACATTGCAGTGGTGCTTGAATGTGCTTATTGTGTCTTTTGTCAGTGATTGATGTTTTCTGTTGTTTCAGATCCCTTGTTGTTGCCACAGTAACATCCCACCATGAGGGAATACAAGCTAGTCGTATTGGGCAGTGGTGGTGTAGGCAAAAGTGCATTGGTAAGTTTGTATGTTAATAATAATAATAATAATAATAATAATAAATAAATAAATAAATAAATAAAAATAATAAAAATAATAAAGCTGATAATGATGTTGATAATAAATGTATACAACTAAAGATTGGATGTCAGAATTATTATTAGAAGAATATAATTCTAAAAATTGAGTTGACTGTGAAAGAGGAATGAAGGACATCAAAATTTTTATCCAAAATGCACTCCGGAATTCAGAATAAAACAGGCTTCTGGCTCATACTTGAAATTATTCACAAAGGATCTTGTTAGTGCGTTGACATGTTGGAGAGGACAATTAAATAAAGTTCATTATTTTCTCCCTAGAGAAGAGTTCAAATCTCAACATGCTCTGCACATTATTTACTTCAAAGTAAAACCGATGTGAAAAAAACGTTTTAACTTTTGGATTAAGACCCCCTGAGAAATGTTGTCCTGGTTTCTTAGAAGATTAAGAAACCACAGTCATGCAGAGAAAGCAGAAACAAATAAGCCAGCAGGTGCAGGATCCATTCAGCCAGTAAAAGAGTATGCAACAGGGTTTGAGTATTGGGATATAAAGATCAAGCCATGTGAATTATTTCATGATTGAAATGCCAGGAAAATAGCTGCTAACATGATGATGTTAGTTTATGAACAACAAACGTTCATACTGTCCTGGTGGATACCAAAAACAAAACAAACAAACAAACAAAAAATGAAAACGATAATAAAATAAACTTTAATGTAGTAATATCATCTTCAAAAGATATTTTTAACAAGGATTCAGTTTAAATTGTGATCACATCGTTCCCCTCTGAAAATCTGTTAGTCCTGAACATTTAATCATCAAAAATTTAAAAGAACTTGTAGAGACAAACAATAAGCAAACAAGTTTCAGTTATTCTTTTAAAATATTTTAGTGAGACACTGTTGTAGCTGAGTGTATAACACAGCTGATGAAATTTTACATTAGTAATATGAATTCTAACAATCGATCCTGGTAAATCTTTTAAGTAAAGAATATAAAGGGCCCATGGTAATTTGAAACCCAGATAATTATATTTGTCTCTTTCACTCTGAAACATGTTTTAACGACAATGCAAAGGATCTAAATTGGGTATTCGTCTCTTGCTCTATCGAAACCTTTTAACGACAGTACAAAAGATCTAAATGGGGAGGAATTCCTGGCAGCCTTAGAGTGAACATGCACTTTGACGATCACAAGGGAAATCACAAGAAAATCTAGAGCCAAAATTGATAAATGTCTCCCTGTATTGTTGCCAGATGACACAGCAAATAGTGAGACAAGGTTATTTACAAGCATATCCTTGTTTGATGTGCAGGGAATTTATTTGGTTTCAAAATATCACTGGATAATAAACTTTACTGTAGTAATATCATGTGATCACAATTTAAACTGAATCCTTGATTAAAAATATCTTTTGAAGATGATATTACTACATGGCTGATTCAGGGCCCACAATGCACTTTAGACCTTTATGTAGCAATGTAGCAATGTTTTTAAATTCCTGGAACTTACAGCTATTACTTGACGTATAAGGTATACCCTGTTTATATCTGTTGTGAAAACTATGATTTGTAAACACATTTCTTCCTTTTACCATCATTTCTATCTCCATTATTATTTTTTAGGGAAAATACATGTGAGATATACAAGATCTGAGGGCTATTGGATACTTTCAAGTTTGTTTTTCTATTTAAGTGAAGAAGAATATAAACCTAGGGATTTGAGCTGTAGTTTCTATGACAAAGGAAGAAGTCGCTGCATTTTAAAAATATTAATGCCCAGGAAATGTTTTTCAGACGGTCCAGTTTGTCCAAGGTATCTTTGTAGAAAAGTATGATCCTACAATAGAAGATAGTTACAGGAAGGTAAGTCTGTATTTTGTTCTTATTCTTTCCACTAAAATGTCTTTTCCCTTTAATAATAAATTTAAGGTGTTCTACTTTCAATTTAATATTTTTATTTGTTTGCTTTATTAATTAATTATTTTGATAAAGGGAGGGCTAGTTTGGGAAGAAATCTATAACATCGGACATCCAGCTTGGCTTATCCTAAACAGCTTAATTTAGATCAAATCCTAGGCAATCTATATAATATAAATGTGAACTCTGCCAAATATTTAAATGTACAATTTGTCTGAAGTACTGGGTTATATGTGTCTACAAAACTGCCTAGTGTTTTGATGAGATTGCTCAGAAACAAGCTGCAATTTTCGATTTTCCAAATTGCTCTCTCATTAAGCTTCATTGAAGCTGTTGGTGTTGATATGGCAATGAAACAGTCTTTGAATAGAACTCTGATTATAGTTGAAAAACAGATTATCCCCAAGAGCACTCTATACCAGCATAACTGATATTTCATTCAGAATAGATCTATTAATCTTCAAAACTTAAGTTTATATAGAAATTGCCCTCACAAGGACTGCAAAAATATTGAAAGTGCACATCAAATTATTATATTACATTATCAGTTTGTTAGCATGTTCCTCTAATTGTTCACTGTTGCTGAATAAGTCAATATTTTATGTCATTTTATTAGATACAGGCTCTGGTAGTGTCTAAAGATATTCTGATTGCCTTTGTCTGTCAATTTTGCGGCTGTTGCTTTAGCATTTGTTCCACCCCATAAATACCAAACACTATTTTTGTTTTGCTAAAGATTTACTAAGTGATTTTGTTGGGTAAAATATAATTATGAGTTTGAAAAGAGCTTTGGGATTTTTTTTTTTTTTTTTGGGAAAGTTATTTTTGTTGTTTGCATGTATTTTTAAATATTTGTTCCACAGTTTTATTTGAAATTTGCTAGTAAACTTTGTTTGGTGAAAAGACAGGTTAGTTTTGAAAACTAGTATGATTGGCTAAAAACTATTTTCTGTTTAAGTATGTGTATGTGTGCAAGATTTACTGTCTAATCTTAAATATTGATATGGTATTGGCTCTAGAGATTGTATTACTTTTTTTAGAGCACTGTCAGTATTACTTTTGTCTGTGTCTGCGTGTTCAGATACTTCAGGCAAATTATTTGTGTGTGTGTGGGGGGGATAAAATAAAGATATTTTGATCAAACCCTTCTCTTTTTTCCCCCTCTTCCAGCAAGTAGAAGTAGATGGCAACCAGTGTATGCTAGAGATCTTGGATACAGCCGGCACTGTGAGTACCACCATAAGTCTATGTTGTCACCTGTCTGTGTGATGATAATTTTGAATTAATTGCATTATCTTTTTGATATAAAAAGAAAAAATGTAAACTATGGTATGAAAAGTTTGTTTCTTACAGTCTTGTTTATATATTAAACATTTTATCAGATAAGTTGGACATTAGCAACGAGATACAACAAAAATGTAATTGAAATAGATATAATCAGGTAATTGAATGCCTCATTATTATATTTTTTTTTTTAAAGGAACAATTTACAGCCATGCGTGACCTGTACATGAAGAATGGCCAAGGGTTTCTCCTGGTATATTCCATCACAGCCCAGTCCACCTTTAATGACCTCCAGGACCTGAGAGAACAGATCCTCAGAGTGAAGGATACGGAAGATGTAAGATGATTGTTGTGAAGTTCTCTCTTTTTTTCCCCAATTTTTCGTTGGGGACGGGGGTGGGGGGGGGGGGGGGTGAGAGGAAGTTACATTTGGAAAATATCTTCAAAGTAAAAAAATAAAAAATAAAGTGGCCTTTGGGCTCACTTGATGTTATGATTTCTTTTAGTCTTTTAGTGGAATTATAAGGTGAATCAGGGGATTTTGATCCAGATAGATGGAAATAATGCGAAAGATAAGGAGAATATTGACACTATGTGTTTATATATTTTTTTTATTTGATTTTTAAACTAATAGCTAGTATCTCTTTTAATCAAAATGAACCACTCTCTGGGGTAGCGCTTGCAATATTTTTTCGCTTAGCCAAATCAGAAATTTTTGGCCAATTTTTTATCCAAATGGTTTTAATTTGACTAAAATTAGTCAAATCAAGCCCATTTTGTTTAGCCAGTTTAAGTCATTTTTAGCATTTGGCTAAATTGGTGAGTGTTTTAGACTTTTAGATTGTCATTAGGGGTCAAACAGCACAAAGTCATTACAAGGTTTTATACTGGGTCTTGCATTTCAAATTGTGTTAGTTGTGACCCGTAACAATCTCAACACACTGGGAATGGGGATAAAGGCGATGGGGATGACGAATTTGGTTAAGATTTCTTTTCACTCTAAACCAGAATAGATAAATAGAGTGATAACTCAAAAATTAATAGGTAAATAAATTATCAAATATTTATTTATATTCTCCAAGGTTCCCATGATCCTTGTGGGTAACAAGTGTGACTTGGAAGACGAGAGAGTTGTGGGCAAAGACCAAGGACAGAATTTGGCAAAAGCTTGGAACTGCGCCTTCCTAGAGACCTCAGCAAAGTCAAAAATTAATGTCAATGAAGTAAGTTTTGGGTGGCATTCTAGAGCAAATCTGTGTGTGAGCGTGTGTGTTTGAGAAAAAGAGAGAGAAATTTTGCAAGTGTGTTTGTTAGTTTGTGTCTTGACTTTTTACTTTTGATAAGTATAAGTTTCAGTATGTTGGACAAGTCATAAAGTTCTTGAATTTCCTAATTGTTTGAAATGACTATGCGGTCCATACCTTTTATTTTGAAAACTTAATCTGTAAAGTTAGCATCGCATTTACCCTTTTCAAAAATTTTCAGTAATTATTTTCAATGACTTGACCCAGCATGATAACATGTCATATATTCTTGATTGTTTCACTTGTTGATTTTTTTCTTCACAAATTTCAGAAATTCCAGTTTTGAAGTTGATATAGCCCAGTGCAGAAACAATGTCCAGTGACTTTAAATAAATAAAATTTTATTGTCTTGACTTCAAATTTACTAATTTTTTTCACAGTAATTTTTGTCATGTGTATGTGTCCTGAGGAGGGTGGGGGTGGGGGTTAAGTGATGGTGGGGTATCATTGTATAAAACCTTATATTATTTTTTACATACTTTGAACTTCTTTCAGCTGATTCATATTTGCACTGGACATAATACTGGTAAAAGTTTCAACTTTGCTGCATTATTTCAGATATTCTATGACTTAGTTCGCCAGATTAACAAGAAAAGTCCTCATAGAATGCAGGGCAAGGAAAAGAGCAAGTGCTGTTGTCTTCTCCTTTAGGTACGCACATGAAGGAATGTTTAGACAAAGCGGTGTGAACTGACTGCGAACCGGAGTGGAACATAATTATGGAAAAATTCACGAAATGATTAGATGCATAGCATGGAGTGCAGTCTGTGGATTTTAAACAAAGACCACAGTTTTGGGTGCTTCAAAATTAATAGCTGAGGTGTGAAGATTGAGAGAGATTTCCCCTTTGGTTCACACTTGGTTCTAACCAGCACGTCTAAACATTCCTATAGACACATGGGACCCATAACTGCATCAGTAGTTTGTGTAGATCCATAACTTTGCCATGCTGGTTTATTTTACAGATATTCTATGATCTCGTGAGGCAAATTAACAAGAAAAACCCACAAAAGACTCAGCAGAAGAAAAAGAGAGGATGTCTAATTCTTTAGGTAGACTAGAAGCATTTGACGTCTTGATTAAGAAATTAACAAACACATTATTGCTTGTTTCTTGCATTGCATGGTATAATACACATGAATTTTTGAAAATTGAAAGCATGTTTTAAGGATTGTACACCACTTTATGAAACTAAATGATGTATTTCAATATATATAATAATTATATAACATTGCCTGTTAATGTGTATTGCCTGAGAAACTTTGAATTTTGCAATCATTTACTGATATTATATGCATGCGTCAGTTGAGTTTGATTTCTTACTTTATACACTAACACTTTGGCATAAATAAAGTGAATAACACCTTTGCTGGATATATTTTTAATTTGACTGACAATTGATCGTTTTGTTCACCATTCTCACTTCAATTATTGAATAGTATGCAATCCAATATCACTCACAACATAAATTTACTTAATTCAAAAATGCTTTATTCTTGGATCATAGTTTGAGACTTTTGACTTGTATGCCCCAATGAATTATCTCTTTTGTGTGTGTGTGTGTGCATGCATACCTATTGATATACCAATGAACTTAAGTCACCTCTTTTTGTTGAAAATATTGCGTCTGGTATTCAGTCCTTAATAACGGGTACTTTTTTTTCTGAGTTTTTTTTTACTTTTTGGTTTGTGGAATGTGTTTGTTTTTACATGGTTTACAGTATTTGTCTTTTGTTTTTCAGAATACAGCAGGATTTGAACATTGACATCATTTCATAAAAGAAGCCAAAAAACTTGGGACTTTACAATATTGTGCAGATGGTGGAACCTCTTATGACAACGGGACTTTCAATTCCAAAAGATGTCACTAAAAAGGACATGCATGACTTTATGATAGGTCTTTGATTGGTCATAAATAGCCCAATCACGCTACCAGAAACTAAAGTTTCCTTATCAAGATCAAGATCTCTGACACATGGAACTACTTTCCATTGCTGCTTTGAAACCAGATATTTCGACTGCGTGGTCAGCGTAAGAAATTTTGGAAGTGTCATGAATTTTTCTGGAAAGTGTTTTATGTTGCCATCAGGATTGCTTTCACAATGGGAAAATAATTTATGATACAAATTTATGATAACAGTTGTATATATAAGAATAACTGTCAACCTTTGAATCAGGCCTTCAACTTGACCTTTCATTTTACTGCTACAGGGCAGAAGTTGCTTTAAATTCAGAAAATGGTTGGTTGGATGAAAACAACTATAGTTACAATACTAGCTGAACATGCTAACAATGACAGTGAAATCCGTTTTCACACTACAATGTATATTAAAGATGATATGGAAGTGGAATTTTATTATTTTATTCGTAATTATGTTTGGGATTCTTTTCCATTTTCATGGCAAGCATGGATCATGTTGCTTCAGTTGCTTAGAAATGCTTGCTGTCGCCCCTTTATTACAAGTGTAGCAAGCTCATTGTAATTTGGTTGGCTATTCAGTGTTCGTGTATTAAAGATATAAATATTGACATCTTTTAAGTCAGAAAATCTTTTTTTTTTTTTTTTTGTGAGAATAATTATGGAGACCTGGGCCCTGTATCGCCAAAGCATCGCGTACTGCGAATAGCGATATGTATTATATGGGGCAAGTTATGGGATCGAGACGCTTGTGCACGGTCGCAATGCGTGATGCTTTCGAGATGCGGGCCCCTGATTATTACAGTTCTGTGCCAACAGATAATTTGGACATTGCATGCACTTTTTGATGTTGCCTTATTTATATGGACTTCATTTTCCTTTTAAATAATATCAAGGATATAAATAGGTGTCGAGGCATGGGGAAAAAAAGTGTGACGTTCAGTTCTCTGCGTCAAGATGGCAAGGCCGGGTATAAAAAGTGTTTTGTAGGGTAGTGTAGTAGTGTTGTATATATCATTGGTTTAAGTCAGATGCGGTGGGAGGCCAGACTTTTTTTATTCTCGTTTTATGGGCCAGACAAGTCTTGGTAAATAAAGAAAATCAAAATGCAACATTATTTATTTGCCATCCATCCAATTTTCTGCCAGAGAGTTTTTTAAAGACTTATCTTACCAAGGAACTGTTAGAACTATTCAAGGAAAATAGCTTGGAAATGTTCTTCTACCTCATAATGAGTGCAAGTAATGTAACTAAATTTCAATCCACACATTACAGTGAAAAAACTCTGCCCAAAAAACATTCAATAAAAAAAGNATTTGTGTGTGGTGGGGGGGGGGGGGGGATAAATTAAAGATATTTTGATCAAACCTTTCTCTTTTTCCCCCCTCTTCCAGCAAGTAGAAGTAGATGGCAACCAGTGTATGCTAGAGATCTTGGATACAGCCGGCACTGTGAGTACCACCATAGGTCTATCTGGTCACCTGTCTGTGTGATGATAATTTTGAATTAATTGCATTATCTTTTTGATATAAAAAGAAAAAAATGTTAACTATGCTACGAAAAGTTTGTTTCTTACAGTCTTGTTTATATATTAAATATTTTATCAGATAAGTTGGACTTTAGCAACAAGATACAGCAGAAATGTATTTGAAATAGATATAATCAGGTAATTGAATGCCTCATTATTTTATTATTTTTTTTTAAAGGAACAATTTACAGCCATGCGTGACCTGTACATGAAGAATGGCCAAGGGTTTCTCCTGGTATATTCCATCACAGCCCAGTCCACCTTTAATGACCTCCAGGACCTGAGAGAACAGATCCTCAGAGTGAAGGATACGGAAGATGTAAGATGATTGTTATGAAGATCTTCTTTCTTTTTTTCCCCAATTTTTTTTTTTGTTGGGAGGGGGAGGGGTGGGGCATATTTGGAAAATATCTTCAAAGTTAAAAGAAAAAGGAAGATTAAAGTGGCCTTCGGGCTTACTTGATGTTATGATTTCTTTTAGTCTTTTAGTGGAATTATTAGGTGAATCGGGGTTTTTAAGCCAGATAGATGGAAATAATGCGAAAGATAAGGAGAACATTGACACTATGTGTTTGTATATTTTTTCTTATTTGATTTTTAAACTAATAGCTAGTATCTCTTTTAATCAAAATGAACCACTTAGATTGTCATTAGGGGTCAGACAGCACAAAGTCATCACAAGGCTTTGTACTGGGCCTTGGATTTCAAATTGTGTTAGTTGTGACCCATCACAATCTCAACACACTGGGAATGGGGATGAAGAAGATAGGGATGACAAATTTGGTTAATATTTCTTTTCACTCTAAACCAGAATAGATAAATAGAATGATAACTCAAAAATTTTAAATAGGTTAATAAATTATCAAATATTTATTTATATTCTCCAAGGTTCCCATGATCCTGGTGGGTAACAAGTGTGACTTGGAAGACGAGAGAGTTGTGGGCAAAGACCAAGGACAGAATTTGGCAAGAGCTTGGAACTGCGCCTTCCTAGAGACCTCAGCAAAGTCAAAAATTAATGTTAATGAAGTAAGTCCCAAAATATTCTAGAGCAAATCTCTGTGTGTGTGTGTTTGAGAGAAAAAGAGAGAGATTTTGCAAGTGTGTTTGTTTGTTTGTGTCTGACTTTTTACTTTTGATAACTTTCAGTATGTTCGACCAGCCATTAAGTTCTTGAATTTCCTAATTGTTCCAAATGACTATGCGCTCCATACTTGTTATTTTGAAAACTTAATCTGTAAAGTTAGCATCGCATTTACCCTTTTCAAAATTTTTCAGTAATTATTTTCAATGACTTGACCCAGCATGATAACATGTCATATATTCTTGATTGTTTCACTTGTTGATTTTTTTCTTCACAGTGTTTCCTCATTTCAGAAATTCCAGTTTTGAAGTTGATATGGCCCAGTGCAGAAACAATGTCCATTGACTTTAAATAAATAAAATTTTATTGTCTTGACTTCAAATTTACTTTTTTCACAGTAATTTTTGTCATGTGTATGTGTCCTGAGGAGGGTGGGGGTGGGGGTTTAGTGATGGTGGGGTATCATTGTATAAAACCTTATTTTATTTTTTACACACTTTGAACTTCTTTCAGCTGATTCATATTTGCACTGGACATAATACTGGTAAAAGTTTCAACTTTGCTGCATTATTTCAGATATTCTATGACTTAGTTCGCCAGATTAACAAGAAAAGTCCTCATAGAATGCAGGGCAAGGAAAAGAGCAAGTGCTGTTGTCTTCTCCTTTAGGTACGCACATGAAGGAATGTTTAGACAAAGCGGTGTGAACTGACTGCGAACCGGAGTGGAACATAATTATGGAAAAATTCACGAAATGATTAGATGCATAGCATGGAATGCAGTCTGTGGATTTTAAACAAAGACCACAGTTTTGGGTGCTTCAAAATTAATAGCTGAGGTGTGAAGATTGAGAGAGATTTCCCCTTTGGTTCACACTTGGTTCTAACCAGCACGTCTAAACATTCCTAAAAACACATGGGACCCATAACTGCATCAGTAGTTTGTGTAGATCCATAACTTTGCCATGCTGGTTTATTTTACAGATATTCTATGATCTCGTGAGGCAAATTAACAAGAAAAACCCACAAAAGACTCAGCAGAAGAAAAAGAGAGGATGTCTAATTCTTTAGGTAGACTAGAAGCATTTGATGTCTTGATTAAGAAATTAACAAACACATTACTGCTCGTTTCTTGCATTGCATGGTATAATACACATGTATTTTTGAAAATTGAAAGCATGTTTTAGGATTGTACACCACACTATTAAACTAAGTGATGTATTTCAATATATATAATAATTATATAACATTGCCTGTTAATGTGTATTGTCGGAGAAACTTTGAATTTTGCAATCATTTACTGATATTATATGCATGTGTCAGCTGAGTTTAATTTCTTACTTTATACACTAACATTTTGGCATTAATAAAGTGAATAACACCTTTGCTGGATATATTTTTAATTTGACTGGCAATTGATCGTTTTGTTGACCATTCTCACTTCAATTATTGAATAGTATGCAAACGAATATCACTCACAACATAAATTTACTTAATTCAAAAATGCTTTATCCTTGGATCATAGTTTGAGACTTTTGACATATATGCTCCAATAAATTATCTCGTGTGTGTGTGTGTGTGCATGTATACCTATTAATATGGCAATGAACTTCAGTCGCCTCTTTTTGAAGAAAAAAATTGCACCATAACAAATACACATTAGTAACTGATATTCAGTTCCTAATAACGAGTACCTTTTTTTAACTGAGTTTTTTTGGTTCATGGAATTTGTATTTGATTTTATGTGGTGTACAGTATTTTTCTTTTGTTTTTCAGAATACAGCAGGATTTGAACATTGACATCATTTCATAAATGAAGCCAAAAAACTTGGGACTTTTCAATATTGTGCAGATGGTGGAACCTCTTAATGACAACGGGACTTTCAATTCCAAAAGATGTCACTAAAAAGGACGTGCATGACTTTATGATAGGTCTTTGATTGGTCATAAATTGTCCAATCACACTACCAGAAACTAAAGTTTCCTTATCAAGATCCAGATCTCTGACACATGGAACTACTTTCCATTGCTGCTTTGAAACCAGATATTTCGACTGCGTGGTCAGCGTAAGAAATTTTGGAAGTGTCATGAATTTTTCTGGAAAGTGTTTTATGTTGCCATCAGGATTGCTTTCACAATGGGAAAATAATTTATGATACAAATTTATGATAACAGTTGTATATATAAGAATAACTGTCAACCCTTGAATCAGGCCTTCAACTTGACCTTTCATTTTACTGTTACAGGGCAGAAGTTGCTTTAAATTCAGAAAATGGTTGGTTGGATGAAAACAACTATAGTTAAAATACTAGCTGAACATGCTAACAATGACAGTGAAATCCGTTTTCACACTACAATGTATATTAAAGATGATATGGAAGTGGAATTTTATTATTTTATTCGTAATTATGTTTGGGTTTCTTTTCCATTTTCATGTCAAGCATGAATCATGTTGCTTCAGTTGCTTAGAAATGCTTGCTGTCGCCCCTTTATTACAAGTGTAGCAAGCTAATTGTAATTTGGTTGGCTATTCAGTGTTCATGTATTGAAGATATAAATATTGACATCTTTTAAGTCAGAAAATCTTTTTTTTTTTTGTGAGAATAATTATGGAGACCTGGGCCCTGTATCTCCAAAGCATCGCGTACTGCGAATAGCGATATCACATAGAGGCTACAATGTATTATATGGGGCGAGTTATGGGAACGAGACGCTTGTGCACGGTCACAATGTGCGATGCTTTCGAGATACGGGGCCCTGATTATAACAGTTCTGTGCCAACAGATAATTTGGACATTGCATGCACTTTTTGATGTTGCCTTATTTATATGGACCTCATTTTCCTTTTAAATAATATCAAGGATATAAATAGGTGTCGAGGTATGGGAAAAAAAAGTGTGACGTTCAGTTCTCTCTGTCAAGATGGTAAGGCCGGGTATAAAAAGTGTTTTGTAGGGTAGTGTAGTAGTGTTGTATATATCATTGGTTTAAGTCAGATGCGGTGGGAGGCCAGACTTTTTTATTCTCGTTTTATGGGCCAGACAAGTCTTGGTAAATAAAGAAAATCAAAATGCAACATTATTTATTTGCCATCCATCCAATTTTCTGCCAGAGAAAGTTTTTTTTTTAAAGACTTATGGCAAATCTCTTACCAAGGAACTGTTAGAACTATTCAAGGAAAATAGCTTGGAAATGTTCTTCTACCTCATAATGAGTGCAAGTAATGTAACTAAATTTCAATCCACACATTACAGTGAAAAAACTCTGCCCAAAAAACATTCAATAAAAAAGTATGGCCTTGAGGGTTTACTCCTGGCTTGTTTAATTACTTCTGCAATGATGTAAAATTATCTGTACTCCATTCCTTGTTTTAGAAAGGCCAGTCTACATTTTAATGGCTACACATGGTCTTAAATCACAGAATTTGAAGGTCTGGGACATTTGAAGGAAATTATTTCTAGCTGTAATAAGACAAGCAAAGTATTCATTGAAATAAAATTTTTAGTATCTAAGGTTCACTCTTTCAGTATCATCAGTGACGATTCATGTTAAAATTTTTATTATTAATCTTCATTTTTTCTTGTATACAACATTTTGAACTATGACAATAAAGTAATCCATTAAAGGATAGTTCTTTTGTTTACTCAAAACTATAATCATATATGAAGAATCTTCCTGCATTTATATGACTTCTGATAAGGTTTATATCCGATAAAAAAAGATTGATTTTAGTTTTTTATGGATGTACCATATTAATTAAACGAACGAGTAAAAATATACTAAAAAGTGCATGGTAAATAAACAATTGCTATAATGACACTTTATTATGAGAAATAAAAAAAATCAGTGATACAACATGATCGGCTTCTAAAGAAATTTGCAATATTTGAAACTTAAAAAACTGTCTAGGGACCTGTTTACACAAATGTGGTAAATGCTTTTAAAAGCTTGAATCACGATAATCACTTTGGATTGAGCTGAGAAAGCAGGGGACCTATCTGATAGTTTGACACTAGAGGCATACCACTTTAAAGTGGAGTATTTTCCAAAACCTGCCACTATAATTATGTAAAATATTTAACTTCCAATATCAAAAACTGGCCAATTTACCAAATTTATTACCAATGGATCTACAACTCGGACAAGGTCTAAAGAAACAAATGCCGAAACAAAAAAAATAAATGAATAAATAAATACATAATATTTTATGCCTGTCGGAGACTACCAAGGTACAGAATGAAGTTCATCTTTGTTAAAAAAAAAAAAAAAAACCCTGAACATTTGCAATTGCACTATGCAAAAACTATAATCTCGCTGTGCACTGGTTAAATAAATGTTAAACCATATACTATGTACCCACGTATGTATGTATGTAAAACTATATATATTTTAAAACTTAGCTTATAGCAGCATTCCCTTACACTATTCATTTGTATTAAGAATAACTCTAACTATGAATCTGGCCTTCAGCTTAATTTAATACATATTTTAGCATGCAATAATGGCATTTAAACAGCATATTCCACATATTTTTTCCCCTAACTTACAGCTATTACAATCTATATGACAGTTTCCAAATGACACACTAACACCCAAATAAGTATAAGTTACATTACAATCCAAAAAGATGTTTAATTTCTAATTTTTACAACAAACATCTCTAGATTATGATTTTGTTTACATCATTATGGACATCAACACACGAGTTAAATACCCATTTTCATCAATTATTTAGTTTCTTGGTTTGTTTGTCTGAGACCATCAGAAGATATATATACCCCCCCCCCCCCCCCCCCACAGAAGCAATTTTTGTGCATTTACTTACAATGTTAATTATATTAATTCATTCATAAATAAAAGTTTGTATCTATTACTGGACTTACAAGTGCAACAATGGAAAGAACACAGCATTGACATTGTCACAAAGATGATGATACTTAGGACTTGCATATGTCACAGCCAAAACAACATGGCATTAACATCATGGTGACAATGCAACATTGTCATAATGATTGTACTGTAACACTCTGAATTCCACTAATAGATTAAAATATGTTTATCCACACATTACACCAAATGGACATTAATAATATTAAGAAACTATATACATACTGTAACACATTTTCCTCTACCAAAAAACTCTTTTATACTGTCTTTGTGTAAACCTCCTGATCCTAGGGGTTCTCATCCTAAAGAAACTCAACATCAAAGAGCTTCTTAGCACCACAACTTGTGTTCAACTTAAAACAATTATAATGCTTTTCTCTTAAATATCATGATCTTTTTAAGTCATTTGAATCATGGATCAAAACATCAAAACTTTTTGTTGAATCTTGTCCATCATCCATTAACTACAGGGCATGAAGATCTGTAACCCAGCTATTCCGCCGAGGTTGAAGGTGAAGAAGAAGAGGTTGTAGCTGTTGGCAAGGTACCAGATGTTGCAGAAGTGGGCATGGTGCCACTTGGCATGGTACCACTTGGCATGGTGCCACTTGGCATTGTGGTACCTGGTGGTGGTGGCATCATGTAAGGATGATGCATGCCAGAGGCAAATGGCATTGGCATAAACATCTGTCCCCCTGGAAACATCTGTGGGTAGGGGTATGGGTAGGGGTAACCCCCATACATGTGGGGAGGGGGCATGGCGCCAGAGGTGGGAGGGATACTCCAAGGGGGGTAATGCCCCATGGGGTTAGATTGCATGGGGGAGGAAGTGGGGGTGGTTGAGGAGGAGGAGGAGGAGGGAGTTGGCTGATGCTGGGAGGACAAAGTGGAGGTGAGGGTTGAGGCAGAGGAGGAGGAGGAGGAGGAAATAGATGTTGAGGATGCTGAAGTAGAGGCAAGCGGGTAGCCTGGTTGTTGGCCAAAGCTGCATTCCTCTGGGTTGAGAAGGAATGAGTTTGGAACAGGTTCTGTGCTGTTCTGGCGCACGGTTCCTCCACTCATGCTGCTCAAGTTGGCAAGATTAGACACAGGGGTGCCTCTTGAAGATCCTGGGGGTCCTCCTTCCTCATCTCCACTGCTTTCATCATCCGAACCAGCAGTTGACTCAATTAGTGATGTCAGCGCCGCCAGACTGTCCTCAGCATTGGAAATGGCACGGGATGCCGAAACGAGTGCGTTGGATACTACACCACCTCCATTTGAGTACCCTCTGTATTCTGATAAATCTTGATTTCCCCTGCTGGACTCTCCTCTGAAGAAATCAGAACTGTGACTATCTTGACTTTGGTGGTAGCTATCAAAGAACGTGTCCCTCCCTTGGTTCAAGCCCTCCATGTACGCATCTCTGAGGGTCTGAGAGGACGATGCCGCAGGGCGAGAATCTCCTTGTGAGCCCCAATCATTATCTGCCCTCAACCCGAGAGAGGCAAAATCAGGAAGCAAGCCCCGAGAGCTGGACATTGACTCCGAGGCTCCCAACAAATCTTGGTTGCCGTACCTGGACGTGCTAGGACTGCCGTCCCTGCCACTGGGGTCTCTACTGGAGCCTCCTGAACTGAGAGAGCTGCGTAGAATGGACTGCATGTCCAGCGAGCCTCGCAGAGCACTCCCCAGCATGCTGGTGCTGCCCCCTGGCTGAGATGTTGAGGAGGACTGGGAGGCCGTATCGGTGGTAGAGGTGGTGGGGAAATTCAGGTCTGAAAAACAACACAGCATTCAGGTCATTTAGGATATATATGTGCTTGACTTAGGGCAACTTGTGGTTCTCAAGCAGTATTAACAAAATACAGTCTTGCAAGCAGATGTATAGATCCAATCCTACATTTTAAAATACAGTGGCGTGTGTGTGTGTGTTTGTGTATTTGCACACACAGGTGAATGCATGCCTCCTACCCAAAGGAGTGATTGTTGATTACATAATTTTGTAATGAAGCAAAGCTTTGATTTCAGCTACATGCACATACACTTGTACACACAATTATCTTCAGGGTTCATATAACTTTGAAAGTGCTTGAATTTGGCTATGCACTTTCAATTCAGTTTGTAGTCCCAAAAAGTAATTGATATTGCCATGAACCTTGAAAACAGTTTGTATTCAAACAATTTTGTCCTTGAAAAGTTCTTAAATTTGATAACTGAGTACTTAGTAAAAAATATTTCAAAATATGAAGTTTTTAACCCTACCTCCCATACTAGCAGAGGAATCCTCATCACCAGGCAGTAAGCCTCCGCCAGACTCATCACTTCTTCCTGCTGCTGACGTGGACTCATTATATCGAATACGTACAGCAAATATCCTCCCCTCCCGTGTGCGAATGTAGACCCCCTTTGGCGTCTTGATAACGAGAACCTGCTGTCCTGCAGGAATGTACGTGGGTCCTGCGTTTGTGCTCGTGTTGCTACCCGGCACAACAATATCTGAAATGCAGAATCAAAACAATTATTACTCTTCCACTGATGTGCATTCATCTTCAGGGGTAGATATATAAAGAACAAGGTTACATTGGTAAATTCTGGATAGAGTTCACAAAAATGCTGTATTCCTAACAGTACTTTTATCATGAGTTAGTATGATTTAGTTATTTTTATTAGTTCTCAATTGGTATATTTCTTCCACTCAAACTATGTAAAAACAGTAAAAAGTGCACTTTTGAGCTTGGGTGTTTTCTTAAATAGGTAACTTGTCATGCCTTTCACAAACACAGAATGCACATAGTTTATTTGAAGGGTCCTAAATTTAAACCAAAACATGACACCAGACCTGACAAATTAAATCAACTGGGATTCAAATATCTTATCCTCTTGTGCAGAGGGCAGAATGACAAAAATAAATAAATAAACAAATAAATAAATATAACACTGCTGAATTTTTTTGGCCATCAAGTGACCTATTCAAAAACTGAAGCAATTTAAATTTAAAACCAATCAGGGCAGATCTTTCCTATGTCTGCAGAATTAATATCTACCTGTAGTCGTCAAAACACTTTGCACGATGACCCCTGGTTTCTTGATTCTGAACGCCTGCTCGCCAAACCCCACAGCAGGGGGTAGAGGGCGCCGGGGTTGCATGGGGACTGGGGTGGATATCATGGGGCGTACGCTGGCCACGGGCCGGTTGCCAGGGTTACTGGAGGAAAACCTGAAGTAGAAGACATGTAAGACTGAATGATGATGATTTTATGATGATGACAATGACTAAGTTATGTAGTAAAATGACATAAATAAGTATGCACAGTGACATGCTCACACTATGTTGAGTATTCGATGTGGCATTAGGATCCAGCAACAAGACTACAAAAATCAACTAATTCTACGTACAAAGACACACAGATGTGATTATAAAAGTCATTTATAAGTAACATTCCACAGTTCAAGTTAAATAAATGTCATATCTAAAAATTCAGTAAACACCCTAGCCTTGTACCTGCTAAATGTGTCAAATGAGGTCGAGGGTCTCTGCGGAACCTGCTGTGGCTGTTGATTGGTTTTGGGATAGTAGGCAGCATATGATGGGCGACTGTAGGAGATATTCAGGCGTTTCTCCATCTCGTAGCTTTGCTTGGCCAGTTTCTTCTCAGACTTGGTCAGTTTATGGTCCTTTCGGTCAATCAGCAAGGACTCGTGAGTAAAAGGCTCCTGGAAGATTGATTTTGATGTTTCATTTCTAAGATAATTAATTCAATAGGTTTGTAAGAAAAAATATGCACTGATCAAAAGAGAACCTGAAAAAGTCTGAACCAAAAGCCTCAAGGTTAGCAAAAATTATAATCTATAAAGCTGTTTTCAGGAAAATGAGATTTTAAAAATTATAATCTTTAAAACTGTTAGCTAGAAAATGAGCGTTTTTTCAATATGAAGGCCTAACCCACATTGTATGCTTTCAAGGTGCTAAATGAATACATAGATTTTCCTCTTACATTTGTGATCCATTCGCTATGTTTCTTGAGCAGGGAGTAAAGCAGCATGTCGTCTATTGTTTCTGACCAGCTGCCATTGTCCTTGATGTACGGCAAGTCCACATCATTGTACGTGAGCAAGTTTTCCACTTGTTTCTTGGTAAACTGGTTCTGAGGCTGCAACTCATCGACGACACGATCTGAAAAACAAATTAACAAAGTTGGTAGACAAAGATATTTACAAAACAACTACTGTCCAACTGAGTAATCATTCTCCTTTCACTTGCTCTGGAAATGCAATAGTGGTGCTACCTATAGTTTGGTAAAACACCACCTATGCTTTTGTGAAACAGTCTTTTCCAGCTCTTTACATGTTGTAACAGTAATACAGGGTGACCCACCAAAAAAAACAGAACCCATAAAAATTTCATTTAATCCTATAAAGGTCCATCAAATCTGCTGGACTCAAACTTCAATATGTGCATGATCATTACCTGAAGTTTCAGTTATCTTGGTCACTTTGCATAAAAGTTATGTTCTTTTTAACAATATGCTCCAAATGACCTCCAAGGCATTTGATGTACACTTGCATACATCGTGAAAAAATTGTCAATTTCTCAAACACATTCCTCCTTCAGGATTTTTCTGTTTTTTTCTTTTCCACCCTGTATTTTCACTCACCAGACATCCCTTGTTTATTAATTTGCCTGTCATAGATCTTCTTCTCCATGGTGTTGTCTGTCACCAGGCGGTACACATAACACTGTTTGACTTGTCCATATCTGTACACGCGACACACAGCCTGACAGTCGTGACACGGGTTCCACGAGGCATCGACGACAATCACGCGATTGGCACCAACCAAGTTGATGCCTAAACAGCCAGCTCTGGAATGAAAAATAGGCATCTTCTTGATTAAATAAGGGTAAAACAAACAAACAAACCAAAAATGAAAGAAAGTGGGTGAATTTGTTCATGCAGTGAGACATGATTTTGGATTTTAAAGAAAGAGTAGGAAGAAATGACTTGGCTGCCTTCAAAGTAAACCATCAAGAAAATATAAGTTTTCCAATTTAAAAAAAAACTACACAAAAATGGTGATATGTATAAAATCAAGAGTGACACATATATCTCACACATATCCCATGCCTTATTATTATGATAAGTTAAACTTATGACATCAGCAAAAATGCTTTAATCAAATTTCATATGAAATTGAAATATAGTCTCCATTATCTTATTTTAGGGTTTAAATTACTCTCTTTTAATCTCAGTGGATTACTTTATACCTTGTCTATTTCTTTTCTTTTTTTATCATAACAGAAAAAGTTGGCTGCTTTTGATCTATTGTCTATACCTTGTTGAAAGAAGGAAGAGCTGTATGGAGTTGTTCTCCCTTCTGTTGAAAATGTTGATCATCTTTTCTCTCTCAAATGCACTGGTGCTGCCATCTAGCCCTGAAAAAAGACAATGTTACATATAAAACTTGGACTTAATTACCATGAGTTTCTGGGGGAAGTTTTGTACAACTATTTTATCCAAATATTATCCTATACTTTTGAAGAAAATTTTCATCTAACTTAGACCCAACAAGTGGTAGTAAAAAAGAATGCACCTGTCTTTTTAAAATAAAAAGCCATGGCAAATGTTTCATGAAAATATTGTGTAAATCTAAATGGACCATTATGAATAATACATAATTTAAAGTAGACCAAATTTTTGGTCTGGAAATTAGGACTTATTCTTGGGCAAAAACTCTCTGTAAAACCAGACCAGGTCCAAAAGACTAGCTTCTTCATTTTCAAATCTCTGCCAGTGCAAGCTTTTTTACTCTGACTGTTGGTAGCAAGTTTAAAGTTTACCACGCCAAACACACACTTAATTTCGTGGTTTTGTAGAAGGGCAACAGACCGATCTTACATGTGTGATTGCTACAGAAAACTTCAATCCAGTGTAACTGAAGTTAAGACTCAATATAAACAGGAATGTATGGAAAGAAGCTGCAGTGAAGGCTACTCTTGAAGAACAGAACAGAAAACTTTCACTTCAAGCATACTTAGATGACTTAAAATTTTATTTTAAAAAATGACTTAAAATTTAATTTTTTTAAAAATAATACTTAAAATTGAATTTCGTAAAAAAAAAAAAAAAAAAGATGGCTTATATATAATTTAAAAAAGGAAGGGGGGGGCACTAACAACTGACAAATAACTAAACTTAAAAATTTTGAACTAAATTTCTCTACTCACTAAAATATGACTTGTTCTTCACCCAGTACTCCTCTTTCCCCGGCACCTTCATCCTGTTTAGAAATTCCTCCACCAGGTTCAGAGTGAACAGGCTCTGACTGGAAACAAAACTTTCTGATGTAAACTAACAACTTCATCAGTAAATACAGGTAATATAAGCATAGTTTAACTGTATTATGGGTTTTAGGCCTTTCATTACAGAAATAATGAATAAAATTGAAAAATTGAATCGTTCATATTTACACAAACAGATACTGACAATAAACAAATCAACAATAACAAACAGTACTTCTATGCTCAGTACTTTTTGACAGTAACATGAGTCTGTAGAATTAAATGATTCTATACAATTATATCTGCCTATTTCTTAACTGGATTAAATACATTTTTTCTGATTTCAGTATAGTGGACACCAGTAGCATTTATTTCTAATTATCCACATTTCCCATGGCAACATGTCTCCCATAGCAACAGAAAGCCTTCAATCCTGAGTACCAAAGTTAATTACCTGAACACCAACACTTTGTCTCCCATGGCAATAGAATGCTCTATAATACTGAACATGATCAGAAACTTGGCACCATTCTCTAGGAGTCCTGGGGTGTAGTCTTGCATCAAAGGCTCTGCCTGTAAACACAGACAAAAATGGGAATTTAACTTATACTACTTAGGTATACATATCTCGTGCCATAAACTGTTACGATGTTATAATATTTCTGTGCAGACAGGGGTTGGGCAACTAATGCACTGAATTAAAATAATTATTATAGCAACCAAATTTTAGTTCATGGTTGTCAACATAATGGCAAAAAATCTAACTGTACTATTTACTGTTAATGGTTAAATAGACCAATTGTGACAAAAAGGACAAAAATTTAAAAAGAATCAAACTATCCATCAACAAAGTCCTGAAAAATCTTCAATTCAGCTGAGTCAATGTTTTGATAAATACCAATAAAAAACACCCTCCACCAAATCCTCAATGATTGACAGCTGACTTACCCAATCATAAGTGATCACTTGCTCAGACTTCTTGTCCATAAATGGAAAGAAGCCCCCTTCTGATTGGACACTGCCCTGAGAGGAGGGTGTAGATGGCCGTGACTCTTTTCCCTTTCCTTTTTTCTTCCCTCCCCTGGTGGAGCTTGTGTTGCTGCTGTCGTCTGCAATGTCAAGGTCATTATCCACTCCAGGATTGAGCTTTTTGAGTTCCAGTATTTTGTGAAGAACATCTGGATGGTTCCAAATCTGAAAGATGATTTTTTATAAGTATATTTTTCAAAAATAAAAATTCAAGTTAAAATTTGAAAGAAAACTGCACCATAGGGGTTCATTTATATCTAAGTAGTTCTTGGAATTTCAGCTAATATTCAAGTTGGAATGCACATTTTCGTTTGTAAATAAATTTTCTTGCTATTTACAGAGACATAATGCAGACCTGCAGAGAATTCATATAAAAAATCAAAAAGCTAAACTGAAGGAAAATCCTTTGGCTATTGGAATGGTTCTAATCTGAAAGATAATCTGATTTAAAAGACAGCAGCAAAATAAAATCATTTACTTATCTTATCTGACTTTCACCTATAAATCACCTTTCACCTATAAATCATTCTTAATTTCTTTTCATTTTAAATTATAAAATGCAGTAAGTTCAATGTGAACACCATGCAGTAATATTATCACTTTTCACATCTTAACCAAATCTCATTCAAAGCATTCTTCTACTAGTATTCCCCCCCCCCCCCCCCCCAAAAAAAAAAAAAAAAAAAAAAAAATCCTAAATACCAAACAATCTTTATAGACCAGGTATGAGGGAAAGACATACCTTACAACAGACAGCAAAGGCCTTCAGGGGGTTACTATTGGCCCAGGCAGAGAGGCCAGAGTCCACCACATTGGTCATAAACTCCTTGTACAGCTTCCTTTGTATGGGGCTCATACGAATCAATAACACATGCTCTTGTTTGGGTGGCAAGGCGGCCTTCAGAACTGCGTGGCTGCGTCTGAAAGATGCCAGACACAGATCAGTAAATGTTGGTGCAAGTGCAAGGAAGTGTTACTGTAAAACTGGCACAATGAGGTACACTTTCAATACAAACACACCTGAACAATACAGTGTGTACGTGACTGAACAATAGAGAGCATGCATGCGTGAATAATATAGTAGGTAGACACCAGAATAATACATCATGAACCTTATTACTGACCCTGCACCAAACAACCCTGCACCAAACGAACCTGCACCAAATTTTATTAACTTCAATTCAGTTACTGGACACTTTTCTTGCTTTGGGCTAGTCGATTCTTGGACCTGTTGGTACCCCAAAGGGCAAGTGAGCAATTAAAAAAAAAATTTGGCACAGACTGCTTGGGAAATGAATGTGGACCGAATTCCAGTAAAACTGAAGAACCCTTCAAAAAAATAAAAATAAAAAAAATAATAAATAAATAAATAAATAAATTAAAAAAAAATTTTTTTTTTAAATTAATGAAAAAAAAAAAAATAATAAATAAATAAATAAATAAATTAAAAAAAAATTTTTTTTTTAAATTAATGAAAAAAAAAAAAATAAATAAATAAATAAATAAATAAATAACCTGCAAATAAGTTCAATTACAGGCCACTATATCTGCTTTGGATCAGCCAAAAAGTAACAGAGGCCAACCTTCATGCAGCACACTTAGACAGGACACTATATATTTATAAATATTCAACCCACCTCTGTACAAATCCCTCCAGTAAACTATGCAGTACATGAGCTCTGAACCTCATGAGCCGCGTGTCCTGCGGAGTGCTGTCCTGGCACTGACCGTTCATGATTGGACGTTCAAACATATTACTGAACTCCGTCTTTGTCCCCAGGAAGTTTGGCCGCACAAAGTCCACCATGCACCAGTATTCCATTAGATTGTTTTGGAGCGGGTACCCGGTCAGCACAACCCTTCTCCTGATGAGGTGAAAGAAGAACAATTTTAAGAATATCTGTTTATTTTAGCCTTTGTTTAAAGCAATTTCATCATTTATTCCATTAAAAATTTTGGATACATTTATTCAGCTATCTTAGAGAGTTGGCCCTCGGGCCTGTTTCACAAGAGATTTCCAGACAAAAGTTAAGTCTACTTGAATTCACGGTAAATCCAGTCCAATGAAAAGAAATCTTGTGCTTATCTTATCACAAGAAAAATATGGGTACTGCTTTAGACCAATATCTACTGTTTTTTAACAAAACACTCATAAAAATCATAATTAACTGTTAATTAATACAGATAAATGTAAAAATTTTAATCAACAGTAATAATCTAAATCTTCACTGTAATCCCACCTAGTTCTGATGTTCTTCAATGCTTGGGATATTCCAGCTCCACTGTTCTTTATCCTGTGTCCCTCGTCACACACCACCAGATCAGGGCCTGGCCTCAGCAATGCTGACTGGATATCTGGAGCATGAGAGAGAAAGAATTATAATTTATTTTAAAAAATTTGATGAGAGTGAACTTTTGCCTCTCTCTCTTTCTCCAACCTACCACACATCCACAACAGCAAAAAAAAAATTCTTTCCACAACTGATTGCATACAACCTACGGAAAATAGCACAAACTGGACAAAAGAACCAATTCAGAAACTCTAAGCGCTTCAAAACTCCAATCTCAAGATTCCAATCCACACTTACAATACCATCTACATAATTTTTTTTGTTATTTTTTTTCCCTAAATTTCCCAAAAAATTCATCACTTTCTAAATTCCCCTATGTCCAACAGTCCATGCATCCCTTACCTAGCTGTAGCTCCTTGTTCTTGTCTTCCTCTTCCAGGTCAATGACCTCTGGCTCGTTGTTCTGCTTCTTCTTCTTTCTTGGCAATGGGGTTTTTCTCGAAGACAGCAAGCGGTACATCTCATAACCCATCAATAGTACTCCTCCATTTCTGTACCACTTCTCTGAAATATCAAAATGTGATTGATTTTTTATCTTAATTATTATCATCGTTTTCCTCCTTAATCTGTCCTAGTAGTAGCAGTAGCATACTTCTATATTTTTCATTAGCTATCACTCACGATTTATCAGCTGTGGAAAGGATAAATTAAAGTAGTGCTTACAGCATCTTAAAATCTTTCTGTTAATCTGATTTCAATTTGGCTGTTTTGAAGCTACCTGCTTTACTGAAAATCAAGTTTTAATGAACTCAGCAATGAAACCGTGCAGATAAACATTGACAACACACAGCACAGCTGTTAGTATTGCTGAACACTAAAAACTACTTCACCTATAACTTCTGCCCGAGCTGTGGTATTCTTATGAGCATCGTTGACAATGTAGATGTTAAACTGCCGAGGCTCGACCTCTGACCCTGGCTTAATGTCCCCAGGGGGTGGCAGCCACATGTTGAACTCGGACATCCAGTTCTGCAGGGTGTTGATGGGAACTATACAAAGCACCGTCCTGGCATCAGTGTGCCGCAGGAACACATCGATGAATGAAATCACCTGAAAATATTTCAAAATACTGTTAAAACAGGGACCAGGGATCAATGACCGCAACTGGAAACAAAATATAGTAAATTTTTCTCCAACATCAGTGAAAGATATAAAGTATATAATGGGGGTCATTGCATTGAATTACCTAATGAAATCGAATTTTTCTCTTAATTCAAATAATAATAAATAAATCACAAAGTAATAAATAAACAACTGTATAAATAAAAAGAAAAATAAATAAAATCTCTCTTACCTGTATAGTTTTCCCCAGCCCCATACTGTGGGCCAGAATACAACCAAATCCATGACTTGAGCGAAAACGCCCAACAGACTCCACTAAGTTGTCATACAAGAATCGTACACCTCCAATCTGAATGAAAGATAGATGGCAGCACAGGAATAAGTGGTCAAAAATGGCATTATAAACATAAAATGTTTCACAACAAATAAAAATACACACTTAAAAAGAATATATATACATATATAATACAAAGGAATTAATCAATTTACCAAACATATTCTATCGATATATTTAAATATCCCTCTTGATAAACATTAACAAATTATAGCTGGGTATAATTGAAAAAGTTTTTCACTAAATTCAGACCTGATATTTTTCCCTTTAGAGAGAATAATATAATATGAAAGTTTAATTTCATATCACTGTTTTCATCTTGATGCTTATGCCAGTGAAACTTGTTAGGTATTTCTCATTGTAAAACATACAAACATTGAAATAAATAAATTGGTCAATAAATAAATAGTTCAATTAAAACTAAATATTTGATTAAAATAAATTGATTGACTGATCATTAAGGAAAATCAAACAATCAATCAATCAATCAATCACTCCACTGACCTGATGAGGTTTTATTGCCCTGGTCAACTGGGAGGCGAGAAAAATATCCGGCTCATCAGGAGGGTGACCCACGTTGACCAAAACTCTCCCCTGGGCATCAGGCTGATTCATGGCATCGTTGATATGACAGCCGCTGTTTTCGTGGTCATCTTCCTCCTCTTGCTCTTCAGAGTCGCTAGGGAGCAGCACACACTCCTCGTCGTTGTCGGAGCTGGAGAGCTCGATGACATCTTGAGTGCAAAAAAAAAATCAATTGAAATTATAACTACGCAGTTTTGTAAACAAAATATTTCTGTCTTTTTTTGTGTATATAATTATAAACTGATATAACTACACAGGTCCTTGTTTATAGGACTCAGAATAATCGGTGGTAAGTTTGGCTGAAGTTACCCACACCAAGCACTGACACACATCCAGTCATTCTGGTTCCATGAAACATGGGAAGCAGTAAATTGACCTGTTTCAAGGGATAACAATTCTTTGTTTGAGATTCATATTTCACAATAAATACATTGTAAACATTGTGCTTGCTGCCATCAGATCACGTGACCTCCATAGATGGCTACACTCTGTAATAATCTCTTGAGATTACTACAAAAAAAAAAAAAAAAAAAAAAACGGAGTAACTTTGAATGTTGGAACAGATTCATTAACCATTGTTAAGTATTTCAAAATTGTTGTTTACCCAAGGAAAATCCATTTTTTTCCAAAATGAAGTTGTTATCCCTTAAACGCTTGTAATGGCAATCTCAATTTATTCAAAATACTGTTCACATGCAATAAAAGGGCACGTAAGTAAATTTGAAAATGTAGAAGCTGGCCACGGATGTCTCCTCTAAAACACAAGCCATCACAAAGCACTCACCTCTTCCTTTTTTCTTCTGACTGTCATCTCCACTGTCAAGGAGTACAACATCTTCATCCTTCTTTGAACTCCATGTGGATGCCTCATCCTCAGCAGCTGCCATGGAAACAAAGAGAGCATGTTTACCATATATGGCTTACACAGTTGTCAAGGTTACATGAAATAGTCATAAAAAAAGATGACTGCAACTCTGCAATTTGTGACTTGCAACTCTGCAATTTGTGACTTGTTAAATAATATTTACAGATCCTATGAAGTTTCTCTTACTTTTCAACACTTAACCTTTTATGTCTGATAACCTTTGCTTGAATCATTTCATAAAATATCATCTTTCCCGTGACTCCCCTATATAACACTATAATATTTCTTAAAATTATTGACACTATAAAAAGCCCTATAATTCAAAACTGACTTATGATGGATATCCCAAGCCATTTTATCGCAAGTTTTAACTTAGACTTGCTGAAAGTGGCAATTTATCTGATTGTTAGACACGGTAGGGGCCAAATACCATGATCATTTTGTCTTTTCATAATTTAGAATTGCTCACTCTGATAGCAAGACTTCGGATACTGTGATTTAGTACAGAGGATTATCATAATTAAGGGTGAAGGTGAACTATTGGGCTTATATGATTATTTTACGATAAATATGTTTTTAATGATGCTTATTACATCTTTCTAGACATCCATGGGGCAAAGTGCAACAAAAATTAGCAATTGCTTTTGGCGGTTATCTCTCTTTGATAAATTGAGAATCCGAAATGCCACTGCACCATGACTAATGTTCAATACGTACATTGTAAGAGAGATTTCAGCTGTGAATCTTTCTCTACCCGCTCCCTGGGAGGGAATTCTTGTTTTATCGGCCTTTGGGTCTGCTGCAATTCAGGTTGCAACAGGTCGAGTTCTTGTTGCTGTTTTTGAAAATGTAACTGCTGCTGCTGCTGAAGTTGTTGTTGTTGTAAGAGTAATCTCTGTTGTTCTGCAAGACGCCGCTTTCTCTCGAATTCTTCCTTTTGAGCTGAGAGTGTCATGGCATCCAATTCGCTTTCTTTCAAAATTTTTCTGAAATAGTCATAAAAAAAGATGACTGCAACTCTTTGTTTTAATGTTTTCTCAAACAAACAAGAACTTTTAACAGAAAGACTCTAAAGCTCTATAACTTTATTTTAATTATGGAACTCTGTGGCATTTGTTTAGTTTGTTCCACAAGCCTTACTTATTCAGTAATAAATTAATTCCATAATTTATTTATTTACTCATTTATAAATTAATGGATCATCAACAAAATCTAATCATTTCTTCCTTGGCCCACTTATGACCCATCCTGTAAATGTCATCAAAATCTGTACATAATTAATTAATTAATTAATTAACCTATTCATTCATCAATATATTAATTCCCTAATTATTTATATATTCATTTATAAGTTACTGGATCATCACCAAAATCTAATCATTTCTTCTTCGGCTCATTTGTGACCTATCCTGTATATTTCATCAAAATCTGTACATAATTAATTAACCTATTTATTCATTCATAAACAAAAAAACAAACAAACAAACAAACAAATAGATAAATAAATAATTTAATTAATTAACCTATTCATTCATCAATAAATCAATTTCCTAATTTCTTTATTTTTTTCATTTATAAATTATTGGATCATCACCATAATCTAATCATTTCTTCCTTGTCCTATTTGTGACCTATCCTGTAAATTTCATCAAAATCTGTACACAATTAATTAATTAATTAATTAACCTTTTCATTCATCAATTAATTAATTCCCTTATTCATTTATTTATGACCTATCCTGTAAATTTCATCAAAATCTGTACATAATTAATTAATTAATTAACCTATTCATTCATCAATAAATTAATTCCCTAATATATTAATTTATTCATTTATAAATTGTTGGATCATCACCAAGATCTAATCATTTCTTTCTTGGGTCATTTGTGACTTATCCCAAAAATTTCATCAAAATGCATCCAATTGTTTTGAGTAATGCTCCGTGCAGGCAAACAAACAATTAATAAACTAGCAATTAACAAAAAAAAAGTAAATAAATAAATAAATAAAAAATAAAAAATCATCCTTTACAGCAAGCCACATGTACAGACACGTGATTAAAATAGCCTTAAGGTGACAGTTTTGTATTTTTATCGATCTTAGGTAAGGTGACCTCCAGCATAAGAGTACGCTTGACCAGATACCGCTGCCTACTGACCTCTCAGAGTATGGACATAATACTTCTGGACAGAGCAAGACCACACACCCCCTGTAGCTGGGCTGACGTAGGATTTATGTAGATATGTTTTACCGATGAGTTTATCTTCTAGTAACATTATAAAAAAAATCTTTTCATGGATCTCCCTGAGAGTGTTTTTTTCTTTTAATTAGGCAGTGGATTTCCCTGCTCAAAATTCAAATTTTACACAAGATCAAAATTGAAGGAAAACAGTGTGAAGTCATATGCAGCAAATCAGTGAAGTGTGCTTTAAAAAGTTTATAGCACATTTTTGAATGGTATTCATAAGAAAGCTGGTTAGGACTAGAAAATGGTTGAGTATTTCAGCAAGTTGGTAAATAATCTCTGTCATTGAAAGATGTTCTTCTTTGTGTCTGTTTGTTAGCGCACAAGTTGTTTCAAAAAACTTTCACAATTTTTTAATGAAATTAGTTATCTGAAAGTTATTCAGTCTTTAAAATATTCTTTATTGATTTCTTTTCACTTTTCAGTACTTCATCCTTTTTTTTTTTGTTTCTATTTATTTAATTTTCTTGGTAAAGGTCTGTGCTTCAGGTTTTGTCTCTAGTTTTATTTTCTTTGAACCAAAATATTGTATACACTAATACAGTCCTATTTATGAATTCATATCAGCTAGCAACATATCAGTAAACAAATGAAAGTTTAGTATTGGTTCCTGACTGCCAAAAATAAATCAGATATATATTTTTGTTAAATAAAAACATAATTTTGTGGAGATGGCACTGATTTCTTAATTTCCTACGTAAAATAAATATGGGGACATAAAGGATGAGTTTCAGACCCAAACCATAATTTTTTGGCAAAAGAAAGATGCTTCCCAATATGTAACGAAGAATGTGCACTTTTGTACTGGCCCCGATTTCATGAACTGCTTGCAAGGTCATGGCCGGGTCATTTATCTGTGGGGGGCCTTAACAAATACCAAAAATATTAAAAAAAGGGTAAAAGCAAGGTCAAATCTTAATAGGATGGCCATTATAGACCATCATTCGACTGCACCGATTTCACATATCAAAAATTTCAAATGAAATATCGTTTTATGAAAGTTCTAATATTTTGCCGCATGACTCACTGATTAATTCCTTTTGATAAAAATAAATATCTTCAACGACCTGGGAAAGATTTCTTTAATCTAAATGCAAGATAAATATATGAGCACCAATATGCATTGAAATCAGATGTGAAGTCTTCACTGCATAAAAAGTGTACAAGGTAGACAGCAGCTAGTTTATAGTGTTCAGACATCCATAAATGTTAAGCCTACACTACAGAGATATTTATTTAATTTATTTTCCATCCCGCCACAGCTACAGAGGCGTATTTGGTTACAATAAATCTTCTTTTTGAACTGTGAAGAAGGTCACATTCAGGCTACATTATTTTTAATTCCTGTAAGGGAAGAGATCCTCAAAAAAGATGGGTCATCAAATACCGTTTACACTGACCAGTAACAGAGAGGTCAGTCCAAAGTGGACCAAAGTACTGACACTTACACCGGTGTCCAAAAGAAGAAAACAACTGGTGCGAGCAAACTCTACAATAGGGGAGGAACTTTTCAAGCCCTTAGAGACTACAAAACATTTTGTTGAAACCAAACTAAATCGAGTGAAAAGGTTTGTCAGATGAGCAGACCTATCTGCTATTGTCGCACTCCTTGCAATTTTACAATAATGCTGGCATTACGAGCCTTATCTTTATACATGACAATGAAATCAGTTACACAAGAATTCCGGAAATATTTCTTCCTTTTAATTTTTGACTACTAGAGAAATTGAATTGAATACTTTATTGATTGTCAGACAAAGTGAATGAAGCGGAGCCTCTCATTATAATCTGATATATAATCTGACAAAGGCTATCCAAAAACTGTGCCCAGCACAAGAGAAAAGTCAGAACACTTCAGTTATTAAATTGAATAGAAAGAGATGGGATATTTCATTTTGCTGAGTTTTTTCTGACAACACACTTACCAAGATTTGAAAATCTAATTGAAAAAAAAAACAACAAAACATTATGGCAATGCTATTTGTGTGTTTATTTGTGTATTGGCATCTTTTAATTAGGAGATTGCACAACGGTTAGATGATCTCTTTTAAAATATTTTTGAAATTATTGATGTTGGACACCAAGGAAAGAATAACAAATTATATTTATTTTTAAATAAATTTCTTGACATATTCATGAAATGAATAAAAATTACTATTACCTTTCAAAAATAATTTACCTGACATATTCAAGGAATGATTTTTTCTTTACTTTTCCTACAATTCTTTATTATTTATTCACATTGCAAAGTTTACTGAACAAATGCAGATTTAAGACAAAAAAAAATAATAAAAAAATAAAATAATAATAATAATAATAATAATAATTATTATTATTATTAAAGTATGAATTAAAAATCTCAATCCATAACTTGGCTACAAATTAAAAAAGGTCGCTCTTCTAGTACAAACATTGTTCAGAAAATGAGAAGCATGTTTCAATAACTTGCCATAAGCGCGATAACTTGAGGGAACAGTATTTTCCACATACATTCTTACAATGACACGAGGTTAGTATCAGCAATTTCTTCTCAAAACACTGACTTTATGAAGAGACTGGCAGTTAACTTTTGTACTAAGCTGAGAGAGGCTTTTCTTAAGGGTTAAAATGTACTGTTATAAATTGTTAAGTAATCTTGGCCTGTAGGTATATAATTCTGAATAATGACTTTGAACTTCTTTTCAAATGACAAAACTATTTATTCATTTTTTCTATTTATCTATTTATAAATTTTATTATTTCACTTATTTTCCATATTTATCAAATGTTAATGTTATTTATTTTTTCATACATAAACTTAATAAATAGTACTAATAAAATAAATTATTTTCTTCAATCTCATTTTGTTTTTATGTTTATCTTAATTTGGGAAATTAATGTTATACTTTTTTCCTACTTTTGATTACCTTTTTGGTAATTTCCCTGTTTTCCTACAGTATTTCACACAAAAGTTTATATACTTATTTTTCACCTTTATAGAACAGTTAAAAGTAAACTTTTCTGACACTTAATTTTTTCCACCTGGCCACTTATAAAATAAGAAAAACGTTAATAATAAAAAATACTAACCAGTTTTTAACTTTGTATGCTTAAAAGTAATAAAAAACAAACAGCAAGAACAAAAATCAATCAAACATTTTTTACCTGATATTTCTCCTCTCATAATTTTTCTTGCTTTTTCTTTTTTTCTTTTCTCCCTTCTTTCCATCTTTTTTCTTCCCTTTTGTTGCCCTGCTCTTCTTTTTTGATGGTGGCTCATCTGATGCCTCTACAACTGTACCTTTACTTCGAGGCCTTTTCAAAGTTGCCCTCTTTGAGGTACTTGGACTTTCAGAGTCTTCTTTCCTGTCCAATTTTTCCTTACAATCTTTCTCAACAGTGGCTGCACTATCAACAATATCATTTGTATTTTCATCCTCATCATCGGCATCGCTGATATTCAGTATTTCTGCTTCTTCCTCATTTTCATCGTCTTCATCATCGTCTTCATCATCAACATCATCGCTGTCAATTTCTTCTTCTTCTTCTTCTTCAATTTCATCATCATCATCTTCTTCTTCTTCATCGTTATTTGCCAAATCTACTAGCTCTTCATCTGATGGTGGTCTGTCTTCTGCCAGAGCTGATGAGATCGTGTCATCATCATATTCTGCAATGTCGCTGTCATCTTGGGAAACCTTTTTGGATGAAATGTCATCCCTACTTATGGAAGACCCACAACTGTTTGAATCTCCATCAGTAATTTTGTTCATCAAATTTGTCTCCAACTTGGAATCAGTTTCCATCATGCTTCAAAAAAAAAAAGCCCGTTTGGTTTCCCCTTTTAGCAAAGATGATCCAATGCTTGCATTTTCCTACAGTTGTAGTCTTCTGAAAAAAAAAAAATCAATAATATTACAGAATATTCTATAATTCAGCATTCTTATACTAAATATCTGGCAGACGTCTTTGAAAAAGGCAAAAAACAACATTTGTACCAGAAACAAACAAACAAAAAGAATGTCATAAACAAATATTTTCCTAAAATAATTCACATCTGAAACCTGAAAATCAAAGCAAAATTCTGGAAAATAAAAATTAAATTTCCAACAGCATATATTTAATGACTGTATTTAAGTTCAGGATCACGGCTAACATATGAACTTTTCTTAGATATCTCAACTGCAAAAATACCCAAGTTTCTTACTTGGGAGCTGCTGGACCTAATGATTTATAACTTGGCCCTACGTATCTTTAAATGCCCAAGCACTTATGTAAATGTTTGACCAGCTTATGAATATGCATGAAGCTCATGAATAAGGGTGGCCAGCTGACCAACTACTAGGCTTCAGAGTCGGTTTTCAATAGAATGGAATGGACACTACAGCGAAGGGGGACATGCAGCAAACTCACTAACTGAAAGCCTGGGTATAAAGTAAGAGAGGCTACTTCTTATATGCACAATATTTAAAAAGATGTAAAAAAGGTATTAAAAAAAAACTATATGTTTATCAAAATAAATTGCAATCAATTTTAATGTCAGTTGAAATAATAAATTATGAATATTTAAACAAAACTTGGCAAAGGAGAAAGTGGAAATTATCATAACTAAAATCAAAGCTGTGATAAAAAAGTCANTGTTGTTTGACCAGCTTATGAATATGCATGAAGCTCATGAATAAGGGTGGCCAGCTGACCAACTACTTGGCTTCAGAGTCGGTTTTCAATAGAATGGAATGGACACTACAGCGAAGGGGGCCATGCAGCAAACTCACTAACTGAAAGCCTGGGTATAAAGTAAGAGAGGCTACTTCTTATATGCACAATATTTAAAAAGATGTAAAAAAGGTATTAAAAAAAAAAAAAAACTATATGTTTATCAAAATAAATTGCAATCAATTTTAATGTCAGTTGAAATAATAAATTATGTATTTTCAAACAAAACTTGGCAAAGGAGAAAGTGGAAATTATCATAACTAAAATCAAAGCTGTGATAAAAAAGTCAAATCTTCGCTTTTGAATGTATTTTTCCAATTCATTAAATAATCAATTAGTTTATCAAACAATCAGTTTAAGACATCTTTTTCAATATTGGAGCATGCATTCTCTTTTGAGCATAAATAGTAACCTGTCAATAGCTGTCATTTCCAAAGATTAAGGTGGTCATTTTATAGTTGCTATATGAAAGAAGAGGAAAAAATTATTTGCTCGGTTCAATAATTGATCGGTGTTGGTGGCGAGAGCGGGGAGTCACCCTGTGTTGCTAGAGCAGGAACACCTTGACGACCAAGAGGCGCAAATAAATTGTTAAAATACTGAGATGTATACTTGAGCGAGGTTGGCAATTATTGAAGGTGGGGTCAATAAAACACCTGTTTAGCAGAGTAGCAGATATAGTAGATATACAAAATAAATATTATAATTTAAGGCGGTTGTTTTAAAGCATAAGAAAAACAAAACAGTGCCTCAGATGGTTCAAATAACAGAGTGAATTTTAAACCTGGGTACCTAATATTCTATTTAAAAATTCTGGAGCACAATCTGGGGTCATATCTATTGTAACACTGAACCTAAGTTGCTTGACAGCTGTAACAGCTACTTAAACATATCTTTAAGTAAGTTTTTTTTTTCCTCTCGTCTTCCACAAAATATTGGCTGACAAAGACTCTTTTCTATCCTTGGCAAGGTATACAAGGTTTATCTTCATTAAGACAATAAGTAAAAATGCAACTATAGTACGAAACACATTATAATTATCAAAAATGGAAAGCTAAAATACAACTAAGATCCACTGTTATAACATCCAAGTGCTCTTTCACAAACACTTTATTAAATTAGCAACTTTTTTTCAAGGGGTTTTCTGACATGAAAACCTTTGTTTGTCATGAAGATGAGCTTAACAATTATCAAATTTAACTATTTCGCCTTTTGAAGTCCAGACCTACAGGCTTTCTAGTATCTCACCTGTGTTATTTTACGAATTGCCAATCTTCTTTGTGTAACTTGGTCTTGGGGACACGACATTAAAACATGACATAGCCACTTACATAAGCAGTTCTCCCGGATGAAAAGCTAACAGGTTCTTGCCAACAGGTTCTCCCAACATAAGAAAATATATATACACATGACAAAGGCTAAGTTTACAAATGTATGATCATATTTCTGATAGATCTGTCTGCGTGCAAATAATTTATTTTTTGAAAGAGAACACTTAGAGCATTGAAAACATACTAAAATTCTTACATGTCAAGCAATTTTTGTTTATTTATTTATTTATTTATTTATCTAAATATAAAAGTCCGTGGTCATTCAAGGGTTATGTTTTAATAAAAATAACAAATAAAACTGCACATATGAAATGCAGAAAAGTTCAGTTATGTAAAACTTTGCTGAAATACATAGTAACTCTGCTAAAACACATCACTGACTTTGCATTATTCACAAATGGTATGAAAATACTGACCACAATGCTGCTATTGTAAAAGAAACAGTTATGCAATAACAGAGTCTATTGAATTAGATAGCCGACATGAACCTTTACCTAAGCATGACAGACTGATCGCCCCAGGCCCTTTTTTTCTAAATAAAAACACAACACTGATGATAAATGGTTCTTACTAATCAGTGAAAAAAAAATTTTTTAGAAAAGGTGGACATTTCCTCTTAAATCAATTACTCTTTACGCCTATGCGAGCCCAAAACAAAGAATTCTACATGTAACAGCCCAATGGATATCTGGCCGCAGCACCACCCCTCGTTTACCCTTCACAGTACATGCTAAAAATGTTGAAGTCAACCGTGGGACACCAGTGTAAAATTAGTGACCCAAAGCAGAAATAGTGACCAGTATGTGAAGAAATTTTCCAAATATTACTGGACCCAGACGTAAATTTTACTAGAGTTTGGTGTCTGACCAGAGTGTTAACACTGCAGGATGATCAGTTGCCAATTATGTAAGTGCATCATGTCTGAAACATTTAATAATTCACAGGCAATTTCCGTAACTTCACGCAATAATTTATTATTGAAGTCCATAATTTCGTATAAAACGTCATTTACAGTCTAAAGAGGCAGAGTAAGCTTGTTGACTATAATTCTAATTAAGAAGTCATTGTTTAAGAAATTCATGAAGCCATTGTCTTGGTTTGATACCATAGAATGTGATTCTTCACATATCGTTAGAATATACCTGAGCAAGTGATGAGTGAACATTAAATGATTGAAACTGATTATTGTTATCAGCATTGGATTTCCTCCTAGCGGTTTATAGGTATATATTTTGACCAGGAATCTGGAAAGTAGTACTAGTAAGGAGTTATCCAACCTAAAAGTATTCAATAGTGTTTGTATTTTGAGCCTGTTTCTAAATTTGATGCATAGCTAAATTTTGCGTGGTTCCGGACAATCAATATTTACTTTTTTCACAAATGAGAGCACATGAACTCTTACATAAGGCATCTAGCACATGCACAACAGTGCTCCAAACTGATGGCAAATATTAAGGTAATGATTCAATTGTTACAATGGGCAAAAAAATTAATTAAACAATTAATAAATTTTGTACAAAAAGTGAATTTTACAGATACTGTATTTTCATTAGATTCTTAACATTAGAACATACCCATTGATTAGTAGCAACAAAAATGAAATTTTTATAAACCCAATCTTTATAGTAAAAGCATCACAGATGTTACATACGTAGAAATATATTTTTATGATCCCAAAATCATGTTTCTGACAAAATGGTAAATTTTCCAAATTGAAAAGATCCAAGTCCTCACCATAATTTTAGTATATTAATTTGTTATTACCAAATTTTGATGGATTTTTTAGGTTGGAGAGTTATTCAGGGGGGTAAAGAAGTGCATATAGTTTCGAATGTCGTTTTAATCATCATAAACATTTTGCATTGGCAAAGGTCTTTGCTCCTATAATAGTTTGTGGTTTTGGTTGTTTAGTGGACAAGATATCGGTCTCGTAAGGTTCACCAATTATGATGGTTCACCAATCATAGTGTAGATAGATAGCTATTCAGGGAGAAAGAGGCACATGATTACAATTCCAACTGACACTCCTCATCTATGAATATAATATAATTATTTTCATTTTCCTTGGTAAATGTTTGCACTCTCTGGCTGTTTCAAGACTTCTGTACAATTCACAAAAATGATACTAAAAATAAAAATAAAAATACAAAAATAAAAATACACGTCAGTGGTATTGTTTAATACTATATTTGCTTATAACCTTAAAAACAAAATGTTACATTGAAAAAATATGATCACATAGACTTTTAAGAATCTTTTTCTATCAGGTAGATTAATTCCTATTTCTGAGTCAACAGTGTTATGGGTTGGGTAGAGTCATTATCAGATTTGGGAGTCTAAGGGACCGTTCACATGAAAAATCTATTTTCTAAAAATCTAAAAATCTATTTGTGGTATCTTGTGATCACAGTCTGTGCCCTGAATACCCCACGGCGTAATTACGGACAGCGCGAGCCAGTTACTATCAAAGCTGTAATTAATTCTCGGCGCTGGGTATTCAGGGCGCAGACCGAGATCACAGGATACCGAAAATAGATTTTTAGATTTTTAGAAAATAGATTTTCCATGTGAACGGAGCCTTAACCCATGAAAATAAATTAAAAATATAAACTTTTCCTGTTGAGGAAGATAATATAAAAACAGCTACATTGGTACATGGTCCACATATGGAACAATAAATAAATCATAATTTCTGTCTTGTTTACCTGTCACTTTTTTGGCAGATAATGTATTTTGAATGGGCCATTATAACAGGAAACATTTCATTATCTATGTGTTATCTTTTCATACAACTGTGAGGTGATTTGAATTTTTTTTTTTTTTTTTTGCTCTTGAGAGTACAGC